ACACATTCAGGTTGAACTGGTACGGTCACATGATTGTAGGTCCGTTGTGTGATTGGTGGATTCAGTGACATGATGTTTTCCCATAATGCTTTGTGTGTGTGTCAGGTTTTCATTGACAGGTTTCGATATAACGCCAACAGAGCAGCTCAGGTCCAGAGTAAACTGAAGCTGCTGGAGAGACTGTGAGTCCTTCTTCTTCTTCTTCTTCTTCTTCTTCTTCTTCTGTGACTGTGAGGAGGGAGCAGTTCAGGGTTACAATGGTTGAGATAATAATGAACAGTTTAAATGGAAGAACATTCTCACAACATTAGACACTGCAGAATATCATATGATCAACAACATCATCTATAGCCTCATCAAAAAGCTACTCAATTATCAACACATGTGCAGATGCATTCAATGCAGGTATGATTTTATACACTTGTATTGATTCCTGAACAATGATAGTACTCAATAGTAAAAACTAATCATATGTCCTCAGACAGTTACAAGATGATAAATGGAGATAAATTAGACTGATGAAGAAAAGTAAACAGTGACGTGTTGTGTTTCCTTCCTCAGACCGGAGCTGAAACCCATGGAAAAAGAAACTGAAGTCACTTTAAGGTACGAACACAAACATGGTCCTCAGAGGATTTACCACTGGAACTCTAGAATATTTATTTTGGATGGATGATTGATGTGTGACAGCTGGTGTCGTCCTCTCACAGGTTTCCAGATAACTTTGAGAAGTTGTCTCCGCCCATCCTGCAGCTGGACGAGGTGGAGTTCTTCTACACTCCCGATCAGCGACTCTTCTCTGGACTCAACCTGTCGGCCGACCTCGAGTCTCGAATCTGCATCGTACGTGTCATCGTTACAAAACAACCAGTCAGAGACGGGATCCGATGGATCCTTAGTGATCACATGATTTAACTTCTCCCCAATCATAACGTAAACATGTGAAGTAAAACTGCTCAATAATCAGTATCAGGAGAGTATTGGTGTGAATTGATCTGTTGTCTCCTGACAGGTCGGAGAAAATGGCGCCGGCAAAACCACCGTCCTCAAACTGCTGATGGGCGAGTTGACGCCAGTCGGTGGAGTGAGACAAGCTCACAGGTGAGACAAGCGGCCAATCAGAGCAGAGGAGGAGCCTGTTCATCACCTGACTCTTTGTTTGTAGCATGTATATAAACATGTACTGGGACGTTTTCAGGGAACCATTGATTCTGTGTCTGTCGGGAACATTTCCTCTCTGTTTACGCTCTGACATTCTGTTTTCGTCCATGTTAATGCGATATCTCAAAAATGCTGTGAGGGAATTTCTTCAAATTTGACACAAACGTTCCCTTCCACTCAAAGATGAACTCATTAGAGCTCAGAGGTCGAAGATCACAGTGACCTCAGCTGAGTCTGTAAATACATGCTCTGATTGGTGGAGACAAACAACCACATGAAGAAATTCAGATTCATCAAACTGTTTCTTGAGCGTTTACACATTTGTAAAAGGAAGCCGGTTGTGAATGATCTGGGAATTGTTTTCAGGGAACTGTTGGTTTCTCTATCATTTTTAAGGTCTCGATATGTAAAGAGCGTTGAGCTAATGCATAGTAGGACTTGATGATTGTTCTTCTGTGTCATCAGGAGCCTGAAGATCGGTTACTTCAGCCAACATCACGTGGATCAGCTGGACCTGAACGTCTGCTCTGTGGAGCTGCTGCTCAACAAGTTCCCCGGTAACTATGGCGATAACCAAAGACAGTAGACAGTAATTGCACCCACGTGTTCTGCTGTGATTGGCTGTCGCTTGTGTGTGTCTCAGGCCGTACGGAGGAGGAGTACCGCCACCAGCTGGGAGGATACGGTATCACTGGAGAGCTGGCCACGAGGCCGGTGGCCAGTCTGTCAGGAGGACAGAAGAGCCGGGTCGCCTTCGCACAGATGACCATGCCATGGTAATAGAAGGCTCAGGAAACAGCTGTTTGTGTGTTTGATGATGATGATGATGATGGTGGTGGTGATGATGTCATCGTGTCTCTGTCCTTTAGTCCAAACTTCTACGTCTTGGACGAACCGACCAACCACCTGGACATGGAGACGATCGAGGCTCTGGCTAAAGCTCTCAACAAGTTCAGAGTGAGTGAGGGAGGGAGGACGGACAGGTGTGTGTGTGTGTGTGTCTCCTGAGTGTTTTCTCAGATGTGTCATGTCATTTGTATCAGGGCGGAGTCATCCTGGTGTCACATGACGAGCGTCTGATCCGGTTGGTGTGTAAGGAGCTGTGGGTGTGTGAACTCGGGAAAGTTCGGCGAATTGATGGCGGCTTCGACGAGTACAGAGACATCCTGCACGAGCAGTTCAGGAAGGAGGGTTACCTGTGAGGCTCGGCCCACTGCGGAAGGACCGCCAGTAACAGAAACCCTGCCCCCTCCATAACAACACATGTCACAGCAGCCAATCAGCAGCCAGGGCGGGCCGGAGGATGTTTTCTTCTCTGAACTGTCTCATTGCCTCAGGGGATGCGAGCTGATTGGTCTTTCGTCACCTGGTGAGGTCACAGCGGACTTGTTGTGTTTTGTATGGACTCAGCAGAGGTTTGAAGTTTTATCTGTTTTAAAGGACGTGACGTTAAACCAACGTTTACATTCAGAGACAAACAATAAAAACATGAGTCACTTCCTCGTCTTTCACTTTTTCTTCAGTCGTGATGTCACCTGTCATGTAAACATGACAAACATAT